GTTGTGGTTTATAGCCTGGGCCCAGCAATCACTCACCCCCCGCCCCCCGTAGTTACAGATCTTTGATCCAGTTTCTTTCAGGCATCTCTTTGGAATGGAGAGGCCATCTCTTGAGCCAGCTGAAGACAAAATGGAGAGGCTTCCAGGGCCTTTTATACAGGGCCGGCTCCAGGCACCAGCCGAGCAAGCTCGTGCTTGGGGCGGCAGATTCTAAGGGGCGGCATTCTGTCCAATCCTAGGGTGGCACGGCCGCCCTTTTTTTTTTTGGTTCGCCACTCCACCTGCCCTGTAGGGCGCGGCGGCGTGGAGGAGGGGAGCGCTCTGCTGGGAGCGGGCTGCAAGCTCCATCTGCCCCAGCCGGTGCCAGGTCTGCAGGAAGCCCGGCAGCCCGCGTCCTTCCCTCCCCGCCGACCTTCAATTCACCTGCAGGCGGGAGCGGCATGGAGCCCTCCCGGCAGGTGGCGCGGCAGGAGGGGCAGAGTGGCGAGCGCCCCGGCTGAAGGAAGCCCTGGACGCCCTCCTTTTCTCTCTCCCCCCCGCTTCCTTCCCCTTCTCCCCGCTAGCTGGGGTGCGCACTCCGCTGCCTGGGGCACGTCTGCAGCACAGGGAGTCCCGCTAGCCAGCGCGGCCGGGGGAGGCAGCCGTGAGCCGCCAAGTAAGTCGCACCGAAAGTTTGCACCCTCGCCACTCCGGCCGCCCCGAACGGTTTTTTTTTGCTTGGGGCGGCAAAAAAGCCAGAGCCGGCCCTGCTTTTATATTCTCTCTCTTGTGGGCAGAAACCCCTTTGTTCTTCTGTGCAAAATCACAGCAACAAGATGGAGTTTGTAGCCACCTGGGCAAGTCACATGTCCATGAATGATTCAGCTTTTTGCAGGCTGACGCTATTGTTTACATGGTAGTTTGAACGTTCCCAGGAAATCTCAGATGTGGACTGCTGTCTCCCAAAGCATGGTGTCAAGTATCAGGAGGTAGCCGTGTTAGTCTGTATCTACAAAAACAACAAGGAGTTTGGTGGCACCTTAAAGACTAACAGATTTATTTGGGCATAAGCTTTCGTGAGTAAAAACCTCACTTCTTCGGATACATCACTCACAAAAGCTTATGCCCAAATAAATCTGTTAGTCTTTAAGGTGCCACCAGACTCCTTGTTGTTTTTGTCTCCCAAAGTCCATTGTCAGTTAAGTGTTTCTTGATTGGGCACTTACTCAGAATAGTCCTTTCTCAAGAAGCTGACCAAATGCTTCACTGATGCTAATTAGAATTAAACACATTGAGATACAAGTGCATAGCCACTATTCATAACTTCAAATACAAAAATGATACACACATACAGACAGCATAATCATAACCAGCAAATTACAACCTTTCCATAGACACCTTACTTGACCTCCTTTGTACAAGATTTGGTGCAACTGTAGGACCTTGGTTGCAACAATGATCTATACAGTCACAGTTTATGTCAATAATGTCACAGTTGGCTTTACAGGGACAGTGATACAAGCCAGGGGAAGGTTTGAGAAAGCACAATGCAGACAAGCAGCTCACATTACTGTGACTCGTTACTGAAACAGCTTTTCAAAGCCTCGCAGATATGCAGCACCCCTTGCTGTGCTCTTCTTATTGCCCTTGTTTCTGGCTGCTCAAAAATGGCTGCCATGCGATCTGCCTCAACTGCCCACCCTCCACTCGGAAAATTTTCCCTCTTTTTTGCACAGATATTATGGAGCACACAGCACGCAGCTATAACCATGGGGATGTTCTCTTCACTAAGGTCCAACTTTGTTAGTAAACTTCTCCAGCGCCCTTTTAAATGACCAAAGGCACTTTCAGTCACCATTCTGCACCATTCCTTACTGCTGTCCAGAGGGCCGGTGTATGTCTTCATGAGCCATGGGAGCAAGGGGTAGGCTGGGTCCCCCAGGATAACTATAGACATCTCAACGTCGTCAATGTTCATTTTGTCGTCTGGAAAGAAAGTCCTGGATTGCAGCTTTTTGAACAGACCCGAGTTCCTAAAGATGTGCACGTCATGAACCTTTCCCGATCATCCTACGTTGATGTCGGTGAAACACCCCTGTGATCCCCCAGCGCTTGCAACACCATTGAAAAGTATCCCTTTTGGTTTATGTACTCTTTGGCAAGGTGGTCTAGTGCCAAGATAGGAATATGCGTGCCATCTATCACCCCACCGGAATTAGGGAACCCCATCGCGGAAAAACCATCCACTATGTCCTGCACATTTCCCAGACTCAGTACCCTTCCTAGCAGAAGTTGATAAATAGCCCTGCACACTTGGAGCACAGCAGCTCCCACAGTTGATTTACCTACTCCAAATTGAGTCCCCACTGACTGGTAACTGTCTGGCGTTGCAAGCTACTTTCTTCTCCACTGTCCGAGCAGCTCTCATTTTTGTGTTGCTGACCTGCAGAGCAGGGGAAAGCTCTGCACAAAGTTCCTGGAAGGTGGCCTTACGCATTCAAAAGTTCTGCAGCCACTGCTCATCATCCCATACCTGCAAAATGATGCAGTCCCACCAGTCATTGCTTGTTTCATGGGACCAGAAACTGCGCTCAACAGAGTGCAGCTGCTCTGTGACTGCCAGCAGCAACTGTGAATTGTTTTTTTCAATGGCTTGCAGCAGGGCTGCTTGCAGGACATCGCTATGTTCCGCACGGCAGACCCTACTTCAGCTCTGGAAATACTCCAGAGGAAGGCGTGAGGTGTTTGAGATGCTCACAGCAAGAGTGCAAAACTGAGCAGGCTCCATGCTTCCGGGGTTATGGCGTACATGCGGCGGTTTTAAGGCATAAAAACCATTGGGTTGTTTGCTATTGATATGAGGGAGGGCACACAGTGCATCATGGGATGCTGATGCAATGTTCCCATTCTCCCCTGTGACAATGAGGCATTGCACAAACTTCCCCAAACACAAGGCAGCAAGTTGCATTTTGGGATAGCTACACACTATGCACTGCTTGGTGCAACCATGCAGGCACTGCTAGTGAGGACTCACTCCATCGAGACAATGAGCATGGTATGGCCACGCACAATCGACTTAATTCATTCAGCAGCTCAATGTCCACTTAATTTTGTAGTGTAGACAATCTCTGGGTCTTAGCCTTAACCACGGAGCCATAGTTTGGTGTCACCACCCTCCAGGGAGACCCCCACTTTTAGGAGGAGTGAGTGGATTTCCTCAAGTGCATTTGGACAGCTGTGGGGAAACGGATCGCTGCGGCAGCAGCTGGAGAAATCCCTCACTGTGCACCCCTACCCTACCGCTCCTTCCTCCCAGCCTAGGGTAGCAGAAGCAGGCCGGCCGAGCGACGCCTGCGCCTCCTCCCCCAGCCACATGGCAGCAGCGGGCAGGGGCTCTCCCAGCAGCTCGCGCGCCTCTCGGAGTGCGAGAGAGAAGAGCTGCACGTGGCCAGCGCTGTCTGATGAAACATCTGACGTGTATTACCGCAGCTGGGGAGGAGGGGGTATGGCCCCGCGCCCCCTCTCCCCGGATCACCTGCTGGAGGCTTCCCCCAGCCACCCAGACAAGAAGCAGCCAGGCTGAGAGACTTGTTGCAGCGGCGGCGGGTTGCGCAAGAGGGACGTTTGAAAGGCTGCTCCGCTCTCTCTAGGGGCCGCTCTTGCGCTCCTCGCGCACCCCAGGCTCGGAGGGCGTTGGGGGTGCGCAAGGAGTGCAGGATCGGGCCCTGGTTAAGAGATCAATGCATAAGAAGCCGAGTTCATGCAACTCCAATGAGTGTACCCCAGGGATGAATTTGGCCCAATAAATCTCTGCAAAGATGCAAAATAAAATACCAACGGGGAGGAGGGGGGAGCGCCTCAGAAAACGTATTTCACCGCGACTTAGTGCACGATCTGAATGTTTTCAATCTGCTCTCGCAACTGAAGTGTCTATTCAGCCCCGCAGTAAGAAAAGACACTGGAGATCCAAGTGACTTCACGGTGCGAGCGAGAGGGGGCGGGCGGGGGGCGGCGTTCCACCCCATTGCAGACAAGCCATTCAAAGTGATGATTCAAGAAAGCCAGCCAAGAAACACAAAGTGAGAAAGGCAAAGATAAGCGTGGTAGTGGGTAGATTTGGAAAGGTGGCAGTGTGTGTTTGAAGTAGATTAAAGTTGCATTCTTGTGCCCAGCCCAGCAGCTGTGCGGGTGATGAGCTCCTTTCGGTGACTAGAGGATCGCTGGGGCTCCCTTCTCCTTTATACAAAGCAACACATGGGAAGATTACAAACATCCAGATTTGTTTGCACTCCACCCCCCCAGCACCCATCCCCGGGCACCACTCACAGGGTAGGAATCCTCCCGAGCTGTGCTCGCTGCCCGTCTCACCCAGCGGTCAAGCTAAGGTCTGTAGTCCACAGCGACCGGAGCTACACGAGTGCAGGGAGTCAAGCTTTAAGGAAGAAGCGGGGGAGGGGAGAGTTTTGTCATTTGGCAAAGATGATGTACTCCATTCCAGCCTCTCACGTGGAAACCCCCCGCCCCCTCTGGCTGGCTGCCCTCCCCCCAAATTCTAATAATCATTACAAAGTGTAAATTGGCCTCCAGATGCCTGGTCAAGCAACGTGCTTTAAATGTTCAACGCCTTTATGAATACAAAAGGAAAGAATAGATGGAGGGGATGTGACTGGACCCCAGAATCCCCTCTTTTCTCAGTCTCCTGGTGCTGCTCCTGAAGCTGCAACGGCTGAGATTTTCCTTCCGAGAAGCAAGATTTTAACTGGGTTGCAGTCTGTTCCTGTGTTTAAATGCTCCTGGTTGCTCATGGTCATTATTGTGCACTTTGCAACCTGCTGATGCAAGTTTCCTCACATTTTGTTCTACGGCGTGTAGTAGTTTAGCACGAGCACCGCCCACTATGCGTGTTGTCACAGGGGGACAGGGCTCCTATTGGTCGGGCTGGTGGACAACACCTGCTCGACTCCTTCATTCAAGTGACACCAGAGCTTCCAGGGATATTTGAGGCACCATCCTTTCCCTTTCTGGCCACTTTGAGCACTTGCACCAGCCCTGATCACATGCTATCCAGCGAGCAGATTACAAGAAGAGCAGTAGCCTCCATTTATACACCCTTTGAAAAGAAACAGAGGTGGGAAACCCACAAAGGTCTCCAGTGTGGGGTTGCAACCAGGACCATGTGTGCAGAGCTGTTAAGTAAATTAGTTACCCTGGCGTTGGTATTTGCAAGCTTTGATCCAGTTTTGGGCACAGAAGCCACCAATCCGCCGGAAGGTCCCCAAGAGAGAGCCCCTCAACAAAAAGGGCGGCTGTCTTTGCAAAATACAGGTATGTGATCTAAAAAGAGGGGGGGATGCTTGAAGAGGCCGGTCTGATTAAACTCAAATGCAAACAAACTGCATGTTAAATGTTGGTCAATAAGGAAGTAGTTATAGTGAAATGGAGGTGTCTTTCTGTTGTATTTACGGAGTATTGGATAACTAGACGTGCATAATGACATTTATTGTTATGTGTGACTGTCAAACATAAATCATGAGGAAATAAGTGTTCACTCCTAATTACCTTTAAAGCCCCAGCTAGCCAAGCACGTGCTGTCCTTTGAATCGCAGAGACAAGTAGCTCGCTGCATTTAATCTCTGCTAAACAATGATGAAATCCTTATAGAGATCAATTTAGCGGCAACTGGAAAGTTATTCCACGTGATCATAAATGGTGAAGACGCGATTTTTGTTTAAGATTATAGTTACTTGTGGCACCGAACCAGAAAAGTGCCATGGCCGTCCTTGCACGTTGCAAATCAGTCCACTTCAATCCTTTAATTTTAAATAATCCAACCATTCTGGAGGCAAACAAGAAACTCCAGCAGGTCAGACGCAGGCGATTTCTAATCCAGGAGATGCTGTTTGAACAGAGGTTTAGATTTCGTCTGAAAGAGAAGGTTTCTCTATGCTAAGTACACAGTTAAAACATGGGGGTGGGGGGGACGTGACTGAAAATTACTAGAGCTGCTGCCTGCTTCTCTTGCGCAGAGAACCAAGTAATGATGCAATTGGCCATGGGGTTTCTCTTCTCATCCCTCCTCGTGTATTATCTGCCTAGTAGAAAGAACCGAGGCGTGCACATTACTGGATCTTTTCCCAGGCATGGAAAGAGCGCGAGGGAGCTGTACACTTTTCTCTTTCTCTCTTACTTTTTTTTTTAACTGTCTCAATGCTGCAAGCCTTGTTTAAACACACACACGAGCCGGAATGCACGAATGCCCATTAGGGACTGCCACATGTGAATCACGGCACTGTGCAATTCTCAGCAAACTGGGAGCCAGGACATGTGATCCGAGAACCGTCTGCATCCAAATGCCAACAGAAGCACTACAGCTGGGCTTCCAGACCCAAAAAAAACCCAAGATGCAGTTATACAACGCTTGACAAAGAGACCCCTTTTCGTTTTGTGTGCCTCTGTATGTGCAGCTTTCCACGTGGGAATAACACAATGCCAGGTCACACTGATTAACTGATTTCCAACTCCCCTGGGTTTTGTAACTGCAAAGCCCCATGTGGCTTTTCCTGCCCTCCCCCGTCTTTTCGCTCCCCCTTTGCATCTGATAGTCTTTCTTTCTACCTGAACACAAACTCCTAAGACATTGTCTGTGTCGTTATTATACGGTATTTGCACATATTAATTTTCTTGGTGTGATCTATTAAGAGACATTACATTGTCTCCTAACTCAGCACTTTACATCAACAGTTTTTTCTCCTCTTTGTCCTAAGTGAATTAAAATTAAAACGAAAGTTGCTGTAAGGGATTTCAGATGGCAACATGTCAAAGGGGAAGGCTGCAGATGTTTTAAAACCATGCTGTGGTTTAGAGAGGGATTAGGCTAGATCCCAAAAGTGAGCTTTAATTAAAGGTGCCACTAGTAAATGAGTACAACAAATTCTTAGCATCCTCAGTTCTGCTCAATAAGCTGCCCCTATTTGACTTTATCCTTAAGCTTCTCAGCAACCACCTTCCTTTTGGCAGCATTTTTTTTAAGGAAGGGCAAGGAGCTGCCTCCTTAAGATTTTGATTTGAAGGTGTCTGCCCAATGTTTGAAATAAAACATTATTTGCTTCGATATTGTACAAAGTTTAGAAGGAAAAAATAACAGATTCAGTATGCATGTGGCTGAAAGGTCTATTTCACTGTTGCATTCAAATAATCTGAATTTTTGGATAGTAAGGAGGGTGGTGGGGAGAGGGCTCATGCAACAAGGGGCTCTGTCCCCTATTGAAAATTAGTGGGAGTTTTGCCATTGACTGCAAAGACAGCAGGATTGGGGGGCCCCAGTGGTCAGCAAATAGTGGTGTGATAATCATCAGACAGATGTTCAGAGTACTAGACAAAACAAATTCTAGCCTGATCCTGCAGTTCTCACTCAGGCAAAATTCCCATTCAAGTTAATGAGGGACTTCGCAAGAGTAGGAATTGTAGATCAGGCCCATCATATGCGCTGAAAGAATGAAACAACATTAGATATTTTCAGGTGACTATGGCTACGATGTAAGTGGAGTAAATTTGGCATTTACTTTTTGGATCTCATATTCATAACAAAATGCATAAACATGTTGGCCTAATTTCTGCAAAAAGTGGACATGAGGTGGGTACAGGAACTGTTGTCTCGTGCTTTTCCTTTTGAACTGATGATCTTAGCAAAATAACTCTTCTCTCTCCCCTCACCCCCGTTTATGAATATTTGTACAAATTAACCATAATCAATGGTCATTTTAGCTGAAATCCAGCACTGCCTGGTTAATGCTGGCGATGTGGGATGTGGAGTGTTTGAATGCTTTGAAAACAACTCTTGTGAGATCCGAGGCTTACATGAGATCTGCATGACTTTCCTACACAACGCTGGAAAATTTGATGCCCAGGTAACCAAAAAAAAAGGGGGGGTGAAATGCCCAGAGGTATATGTTTAGAAGGTGCTATATTTAATTTAATGATTTTTTAAAAATACATCTTTAAAATAAGGCTTTAATTAAGGACCAAATCTGCTCTTCCACATGCCCAACTCCCATTTCCTTAATTGAGAATTGGATGCATACCACCAACGGCTTGATTCTTTCTGCTCCCATTCAATTCAATTGAAAAACTTCTATTGACTTGAATGGTGCTGCATCAAGCCCCAAGAACAGAATAACATATGCATTGTGTTTAAGTTGTCTTATGCAACAGGCAATCTGTTTCCTACCGAGCTGTACCTCCACCTAAGAATTTTTTTCTAGTGGACCTGTGATAACAAAAATGGAATGGTGATGATGCCATGAATGGATCCTGCAGTCCTCACTCAGACAAAACTCCTGCTGCATTCATTAAGGACTGTAGGATTGATCCCATTGATACGAATGGGCATTCTGCCAATAGGTTGAAATATTGTAAGTTCTTCGAGGCACAGAGAGTATTGTGTATGTATCATTTTATTACTTAAGTGACATGCATATATGATGCTGAAAATATCTCTATATCAACTGATGTATCACACTTTAGCATGCCCTATGCAAATCTGATCAAATTAATTCAAGTGAGTTGATGGATACACTTTTCCAACCCATCTAAGTGACTTAGGATCCTAAGTCCCATTTTCAAAAGTCACTTAGGCATGTTTGAAAATTTTATCCAATGTGAGCTTGTGAAATTATTTTCAAGAACTACACACAACTAGCACAGGCATCTCCAAAAGCTGCTGTATTCAAATAGTCCTTTGGCTCAAACACTGACAATAAAATACATTCTTTAGGCAGTATGCGGTATTAAGTTTGTCTCCTTCATTTTCTCCCCAGACCATTTAGGCATCACTGAAGCATCCTGTTATTATGTCTCGTAAACCTACTCTCCCATTTCAGTGTGGAGAGAAGAGAACATTACGACGGGCCAGCGGCATTTGGCTTGACGCGTGCAGTTTACAGCATAACTTTACTGAAGTCACCCAGCTGTAGCCTAATGGCACTTTATACAGCATAGTAGAAAGCAGAGCTGTCTTGCAGATCCAGCTGTTCTATTTAGTTGGGCCATGGGACCAGACCTAGCAGAAAAACAAATTCCCCTGTGCTGGAGATTTTAGGCTGAGATTTGCAAAGCTACATAAAGGATCTGGATGTCCAGTAAAATTGATGGGAACTGTGTGTCCAGATCCTCTGGGCATCTTTGAAAATCTCAGCCTTAGTTTCCAGGCAGCTGCCAGAGAATGATTTAGAGATTATTTTATATATTATCAACAAGCAAAAAGTTTATGGAAGTAAAACCATGGGAAAACCAAACACACATATGAAATTATTGCAAAAAAGCCATCAAATAATTGCTCCATTGGACATGTTCATATCTTTAAAGAGAACAGGGGCTATTTTACATCCAGATTGTTTCTACTGCAATGCAAAGACACTGGGATCCGTGGGAACAAATTGTCCTCTAAAATATACATGTGTAATTCCCATTGACTTTAATTTCTTCTCTTCAGTTTCTTTTACTGGCCTTATCACTACAGTATCTGAGCAAGTTCCAGAATCCTATCTGACATGACTAGCATTTGTCACACGTGATTCTCTCTTTTCCTTACCCCCCTTTTTTTTCTCCAATGGCAAAAATGTGAGACTGGGTTTTTTAAAACATTTCTTCTGTGTGTACAGTAGTTAGTTAAAGTCTACTGTGCTATGTGTATTTGTTACTGAATGCAAGTTCAAAGAAGTGCACCTGGCACTTGGAATGGAAGGTGGTGATGTTTGACACAGTACTTTGATCAGTGGGGCGCATGAGTGTCTTGCTCTCAGATCTGTGTGAATCTGGTGTAACAATTGATCTCAATAGAGTTATAAGGGTGTAAATCCGGAAACAGTGAGAGCAAAAATTGCCCCATTGATCACCCATCAGCTAGGATAACCTGAGGCTAATAAAAAATGGGGCAACACGGGATCGCTACCACCCAGCTGTCACTCAACAAGGAGACGAAAGCTGAGCATAGTTGCCAAGAGAATTGTGACATACATATACAGTAGGACTAGCTATAATATCTAATGGTGGACAGAGGAAATGATAGGGATGGGGGATGGGCATGCCTTGAATATTCCTCTGTAAAGCAATATGAGGAGAGCATGGAAGATGGTTCTGGACATCGCCTAAATAGCCTTTATTGTCTTCAATTTGCTTGTGAAGGCTTCAAATTGAAATTGTGAAGGCTCCAGCAGACACAAACATCAAGATGTTATTGTGGGTGGCTTATGAGAGTGGGCTGGTAGCATTGATTTGGGGAGTCTTTTATTGTGAGGATGGGAGAGGGAAACAGGAAACACTGAAGCCAGTGGTTTCCTTAAGGGGACAGGGAGTGCTTCTATAAGAGCTATGTGAACTTTGCAAACTGATAAGGAAAGGCAGTTTTGGTATGACTGACTGTGAATATCCCCTTTGTAGTCCTGGAGACTCAAAACACATTCGGTCACTCTCATCAGTGATGTAAGCCCAATGTAGTCCATGGTGACAGACCAGGAATGAATTTAGTCCATTAAGTTGGACTCTCTGTTGTTTAAAAATGAAGCCACTTTTTTCTCTCCTAGACCAGCAAGGACATGGGCTGTGGTAGAGGCAGGGCACTCAGTGCTGGGAGGAGGCAATGAAAGCATCACATAACCATGGAGAAAACCAGACACACCCAGCCATGGAACAGCATCCAGCCCTTCTAGAATGGCAGGACAGGACAATCTGACGTGGCCTTTAGGAGCAAAGAAATAAAACCGGGGGAGACATTAACAAATAGCCTTAGCAGTCTAGTCACCCTTGATGCTGTCATGTGGAGGAGTGGCTTGTGCTTAACGGACACAAATACAGAACTACTCCGTTTCTTATCTTCTCAGGGAAAATCCTTCATTAAAGATGCTCTGAAGTGTAAGGCTCACGCCCTGAGACACAAATTCAGCTGCATCAGTCGCAAGTGCCCTGCCATTAAAGACATGGTGTTCCAGTTACAGCGGGAGTGCTACCTGAAACACGACCTCTGCTCTGCCGCCAAGGAGAATGTCCAAGTCATTGTGGATATGATTCACTTCAAAGACCTGCTGCAGCACGAGTAAGTATGAGTGTGCAAGGAGCCTAGTATTGTAGTGAGGGCGAGGGAAGAATTTCACCTAAAAAGACATGTCATCTACTGGGTTGTATAGTCATTCCCCCAGGAGACAGGAAATCCTGAGTTCCATCCCATCTAATTGTGTCCTTGAGCAAGTCACTTAACTATTCTGCCTCAGTTTTCCATCTGTCAAACTGGGATAACTCTTTTTTCGTAGAGGTGCTGCAAAGACTAGTTGACATTTTACAAAAGTGATGAGTATTATCTTACACAGACATGACCCTGGGAGGGGAACAAATGTGTTGAAGTTGGATCGATTTTTTTTTTTTTTTTTTTTTTTTATTTTAGCTATGACATTATTATTTGTTTCCAGAAGTACCCACAATGTGCCAAGCACTTTCCAAACAAAAAAGAAGGCTCAGTCCCAGCCCCAAAGATCTTGTATTCTAAAAGAGAAAACAAACTGACCGAAGAAAGAGGGAAAACATAAGTGAAGTGGTCAAGCTGGTATTTACGCTAGGTAATAATAGTTTGATGCCACAGTTCTAATTTGTAAAGAAATAGATTATCCCCAGGTATCTGCAGCTGTTACTGAAATGACAGATATCATACTCTCCCCTCATCCACACAACATAATCTTGCATGAAGATTAATTGCAGTCCATTTCTGATTTGCTTTATGAAATTCCCAAGTATTCATATTCCTAAAGCATCTTGTTGTTGCTGTTAGTCACAGAAACTGCCTAGACTGTCATGAAGAAAAGCCCCATACTCCTATTCTCATCAACCCCATATGCTTGCCAAGGAAAATGTCTAAGGACACAAATGCATACAAAATGGAACATCAGAGTCTAGATTTTCAGTAGTTCCCTTCTTTTGGGAGTACAGTTCACACCTGCAGTGAATGGCCGGTATAAGTCTTATTAATAACACATCTAAACTACCAAATTGCAGGAACAAATCAGGTACAAACTACTGTGGTTTGTGCCCACCCTTCATTTGCTGGTGCAAAAATGAGAGAATACTTTTCTACAGGTGGAAATTGCACCCAGAAACAGGGATGCTCAGCCACAGGCTGGCAGAAAAATTATCACTGGACATCTTCATACCATACCCCAATGATTTCTCATTCCCTATTGAATAACCAAACCCATAGGCAATGACAGATGATAACACCCAGCTGTTCTATAGCACTTTTCATCAGAAGATCCCCAAGTGCTTTACCAAGGAGGTCAGTATCATAATCCCCATTTTACAGGTGGGAAAACTGAGGCACAGAGCAATGAAACGACCAGTTCAACTTTCAAAGTAAGTGTTAGTGTTGCACTTTTAGACACCAAGGCCTTTGAAAATCCCAACCTAATTCCCTTAGGTTCTGTTAAAATCTCACCCTTAAACTCCAGGTTATGCTTAAGGAGAGTGGAGCTGTGACACAAATTTACTCCATCATTAATTACAGTTTCACAAAGTGAACACGGCCCCCTGAAAGCAACGTTCCTTCCATGAGCATGGACCTTCCTGAAGCTAGGATCAACAGCATGGCTGGTGTCCTTGCAATCATTTATTGCATTGCCATTTCTGGTCTCTATCCTCATGGTGGTAGGGGATGAGAGTTTTGTGGAGGCACCAGCATGCTAGGCTTCTTCTGGGATAGTGAGGGCAAGCAGTGCGTCACATTGCACACCAGCACCGGCATTTCAGGAGCTGCATTAATAGGCTGTACATTGGCAGATACTTGTCTACAAGTAAAACTTTTTAGCTCCATAGCTGAAAAGTGCAATAAGAACAGAGTGCTTTGCCAAGGTGAGGCAATGTTCCCCACTTTACAGAGTGGGTAAGGTCAGAATTCGCAAAGGCCAGAATTCTCAAAGGCCTCAGTTTTTGGGTCCCCAACTTGGTTCACCTCCAGCCTGGTCAGTTAAGCTATTTTAGAGCTGTGAGTGCTCAGCGCCTCTGAAAATCAGGCCCTGCCTATCCCAAGTTGGGCTCTCAAAATAGAGGCCCCCAAAATCAGGACAAGTTTTGAAAATTTTGGACTTAGGGACTTGCCCAGAGGCAATCAGCAAGTGGGTGGCAAAGCTGGGAACAAACCCAGGTCTTTTGACTCCGTGTTTTGCTCAGGTCACTAGGACACAGCTATCCTGTAGGCAGGATAGCAAGTAGGATGAGGAGAGCGTGAAGTCAAGGAATGGGGAAGAGGCACTCCTCAGAGCTCTGGCAGACTATGAACACCTGTAAAGGGCACAACTAACAGGCTTCTAATAGTACCAGGAAAACTGCGCCACCATTTTTCAGGTGATTTTGTAAAGCAGAAGTCCAATTTTTTAATGGATGTCAGTAAAATTCTCACTGGCTCATTTGACAGGCATATTAAAGTCTGTGTCCTGTCCCTTCACAGTTCCTGTTTCAAATAAAAGACAAAACTTTAGACCAGGAAACATTATTGACGCTCATTCTCACCACCTCCTCCTGTACTATTCCAAAATGAGCAGTCTTTTGTCATATTATTTTTACCATTTTCTCTTCATGTGTAAGCTAAACAGCACCTTGTGGGCCGTAAGTGCACCTCTTGGGGAACAGGTTGGGGGAATGGAGGTTTGGATCTATTTTTTTATTATAATGGTGAAAATGGTCAGAACAGTTGCACTTCCAGGACCTGTTATGCTCCAAATAACTAAAAAAATCCCAACACCACCACCCCAGTCAAGAATCCAAAGATGGATTCCTTATTCCTTAAACTCCCTGCTTCAAAGAAGTTGCATCCCCAGACATTAGTGATTCCATACAAACTTCAGTTTAACAACAGAGTAAAATCTTGGTACTTTCATCTACTCTACTATCCTCGTTTGCTAGCTCTCCTTATCCCTCCCTGTCTATTTTGCCTGTTTCAAGAGGATAGCCTCAGGTGCAGGGCTCATCCGGCACCCAGCACTATGCACAACTGGTCTCCACCGAAGATGACATCAGCACCACTATGTGCCAGATTCAACCCTGGTGTAAGTGGGCTGGGCACATCACTGAAATCAATGGAGCTGCCACTGCTTACACTACGGCTGAATTGGGACCCTTGAGAATGCTAAAGTTGCAATTCAGGTGGTTCCTTTGACTCGAGACTTTTAACTGTATCACCCTTCTGGGCTCTCCCAGCCTGCCTGCTAACAGCTGAACTGTTGTCTGCTCTATTGGCATCTATTGGTGATACTGCCTAACCAGACGTGCTCCTGCAAGTGTTCTACTTGCCCTCTCTGACACTTCGCTAAGTAAGCTGGGCGTCATCCATTCACTGGCCATGTTGCGTCATGTGAATGCAGCACCACAGGATGTGACTCAAATTAAAAATAGTCAGTCTATAGATTTCCCAGTTGGCGGATGATTGCCAAGTGTGATCAGTATTCTGCCTGTGCTCTCAGGCTTTGAGTCACTTGCCACAGAGTGGGAATCCTCTTGCCATCTGCCTCAGTTGGGTGGGGGTGAAAATAGACAGTTTTGATCCTTAGTGACCCCGTTGGCAAAGAAATAGAATCAAATAAGTCTGGATAAGACAACTCAATATGGTAACAAACTATGCTTTCAAGGTGGACTTCAAGTCTCCTAGCTACATAGAATTAAATCAGTGGCCTATTGATCGCACTTCCAGCAGAGGCAGAAACTTGAAGCTTCAGATGAAGGCAAATGAAAGTGATAAAACCCAGAGAAACCCCTAGCCTGTTGCGCAATGCTGTTCACGTGGGTGGGGAAATTCCTCCCTGACCTAGGCAGGTGATCAGTTTATGCCCTGAGGTGTGAGATTTGGTTACTGTTATGTACAATAATATGAGTATCTACTAGTGTTACAATTAAATGGCGTTTACAATTAAAATTGACTTTTAATTGTATCTACTAGTGTTACAATTAAAAGTCAATTTTCTGTAATTAGCTAGATATTTTAGGAACGTGATGGGCCACATGGAAAGGGAATTGGCTAATTTTAAGGTCTCTTATCTCAGCTGACAACTAAGAGGGAGGTGGGGGGAAGGAGACAGAAGGGTGGCCACGCTGAAACATGCACAGTCACAGAGCATTAGGTCAGTGGCAGATGTGCTGACAGGGCTTTGGAGAAAACACTATCTAGGTATTTATACTGTGCTCACCACTGTAGCATCTAATGAGATTAAAAACATCTCCTTAGCTCAGGGCAAGTTTGCATATTTCCTTTTTACGTGAATGGTGTGTCCAGTAGGCTTCCCTCTGAGTTATTAGCTGCCATGGACAGCTAAATAAAGAGGACAAACTGCTAAAAAATATATTGTGGGGAATAATCTGGTCTGGCTAGGGTGAGATGGGACCTAATTGCTTTCTCCATCTAATTTCTGTGACTTGTGGTGAAACTCACATTATTGCCTCACCCTTGGAGGCTCAGGCGTATATGTAGAAATTTCATTATTCTTTTCCTTGTAGGATATTTCCTTGCCGTTGCCAATCCTGGAGAGGGTCCAGAGACCTTGCCCCTTCCCTCCCTGAAAACATAAGCAGGGTGATGCTCTGATAAATCGCCACTCGGTCAGTTAGGAGCCCCCCTTTTTCAGCCCCCTGCATCCCATCTATTCTAGAGAGCCGAAGAGTCTGCTTTCAGTCTCAGCTTTTTCTCTCCTATAGTCCCAAGGAGTAAAGGCAGAGTCCCATATGGGCTCCCATATGACAGTAATTTGTAGAAGTGAATAAAGTTTGTAGAGGCCAGGTGTAGGACTGATTTAATATCTGTTAGAGAAGTATCAGGAAGCAATATCCTACCCTCACAAGGTTTGGATTCAGTCATGTAATAGGTGTTTTCTGGCTCTAACTGCTCTGAAATCACAATTTCACAATTAGCCTAAGGCTATGCCTATACTTAGGTACAACTTACGTTGTGGACAGCGCTATGTTGGTGGAGAGCTTTTCCCGCCGACATAGCTACAGCTTCTCCCAGAGGCAGGAGTTATTAAGCCGATGGGAGAGCTCTCTCTCAACATAGAGCGTCTTCACCAGAAAAGCTACAGCAGTGCAGCTGCATCGGAGCTGCTGTAGTGTAGACACAGCCCGAGTAAATGCAAGACTGGAAGCAGTCCATCTCTGGGACAGTTGGTGACAATTCTGCCTCTGCTACATATGTTTTTTATTTTCAACTTAAAAATAAATCTTTGTGCTTGTGGCAGCCAAAAGCATCACCCCTCAAATCAATGCAACTCTCCAGCCCATATCAACTCGGGTGCAGGGGGGATAGGAGGGAGAATGGGCATTGGGTACAAAGTTCATCTTGACTCCTCAAATGGGCGAGCTGTTCCCAAGCATGCAACTGACTGATCAGACACCATATAATCATCCACTTTGTTGTGCTAAAATACATTAGCACTATTGACTCCACACAAGCAGCAGCCCAGGTCTCCTGATTCCTACCCTCTGTTCTGTCCACTAGACAATTCAACATTGTGCATCTGTTGCCTGTCGTAACCCAACTAGCCATGTCTCTGTAGAAGCCATGCCTAATTCAGCTTCCAGGTGTAGGGGGACGGGACATTATTGTTCACTTGGTGTAGATGCTACCAAAGGACTCAAGTCTCGTTGTAACATGTAGGATATAAAACATGGCTGCCAGATGAGGGAACTGCTGTACTGCATTTAAGTCTTCTATAGCATCTGGCCACTAGCTGGCAAACACAGTCAGCCCCAAGCAGATGCTCTGGAGTAAGCAAGAGGAGAATGAGGCACAGTGACCTCACACCCACTTGCTGATGTGTAACCTAGTTGCATCTTGCAACATGATTCTCTTTTAACTTCCCCTTCTGTTGTTTGATTTACCTCCAGGCCATATGTCGACCTGGTGAACATCCTGCTCACATGCGGGGACGAAGTGAAAAAGGCTATCACCAGAAGCATCCAGACCCAGTGTGAACAGAACTGGGGAAGCCTCTGCTCCATCCTGAGCTTCTGCACCTCAGTCGTGCACAGCGACTCCACACTAGGTCCTGAGAGGAAGCCAGGTGAAGCCACCAAAGCCTCTACCAGCCGTGGGGACATACTAGTCCACCCTGAGTCTGACCACAGGGAGAGCTCACGAGCTGCCAAGGGGGAGAGAGGTGGCAGGGCTCACTTGAACACCCACCCCCGGGTTAAAGCTGGAGCTCACAGCCCCAAAGGGGCACACGGGATCATTGAGCGGGCAGAAGAACTGTCCGACTTCTCCGACATCCGAAGGTGAAAGGAGGCACCAACTCAACCCTCCCCCTCCACCAAAACTTCCTCCATTGAGTCCATCTTCTTAGCTATGGACATTCCAAAACCTTTACCATTCAGAGGGGTGATGTCAAGCACAGGGCATTGTGGGATATGTGGACTTCAGTGATAGTGTATAGATTAGTAGAGGGAGAGCAGTGGTTCTGGGTTATTGATTGTCTCCAGAGAATTGGACACTCACATAACCAATGGGCGAGACAAAAATGTTAAACCTCCCCCACCCCTTTTAAAAACAACAGAACAAGTGGATATTGTTTTCAATTTGCTTTTCTTTTGGTTGGGGGAAAGGGTGTGGGGAGGGCTCAGCCAGCTTTTATTTTGGCCATTCACAGCTCACAGCTCCACTATGCTTATGGGGCAGTCTCCAAGCAGATGGCAGAATTCCAAAGGGATCTTCTCTGCCCATGGCTGTGACTGTAAGAGTTCAAAGTGGGCTGCTGTGACACTCTAATGAAATAAATGTCCAGTTTATTGCACGGGGAGATTGCTGTTTTGAGCTATGTCATTTTCTCATAAGTCCTGAGCCATTGTTCCTTTCTGGGTGACACTATCCGACTTAAATGCCCCCTTGTATGTATTTTAACCACTGCTTAACTTTATTTTATTTATCCAGTTACTCCAAGATGTCAGTGGCCTAAATAGCCAGCTTTGTGACCTGCTTAGCATCAGAATGCGCACCTTTTCCACAGACCTCCAAAGTCCCCAGGCATGTCCTCTTTCAGAACCTGCGGCTGTGCTCACAGAGGAGCATTTGCTGCAGCAGCCTCCCCACTTGTGGGCAACCCAAAATGTGGGGCTTAGGCACAAACAGTTGATGTGTCCTTAAGCTTTGCGGGCTTAGGGAGTATTTTGGAGGCCTGTTGAAGATCTATCCCTTCTATTGTCTTTGGAAGCAGCATTAGGGAGTTTGCAGGGCTGTAGAGACTCAGTGTTCTAAATCTGGCCACAGGCCATGGTTTATCAAAGTGCCAAAAATGACTATGGGATAGTGAGAGACGTTTAACTTTTTTTTTAAAACTAGCACACTGGGTAGTGACCTCCAAACCCTACAGAGTGAGAGTGAAATGCAGAGTGATAAGATGGGTTTGGAGAGCTTAATCTTCCTGAGTGATTTAAAGTTAGGGTGAGATGCTAGGGTGCATCCTTTCTTATCCCCATATACAAATGTGGCCCTCAAGTTGCACTGCTGCAACCACGTATCCTAGGATGTTATTCTTAAAACATTGGTTATCGTATCCAAAGGCAGAGAGGGGTGGGAACTTTAGTAACCTCTGTTGGGGAAGGATGATCTTTCTTGCAAGACAGTATCACACCAAGGATCTGAGCACTGGCCTTTTGCTTCAGGAGGCCTGGAGTCAAATCACCAGTGGTGGGAAGGCAGTTTGGTACAGACTGAACTAACACAGGGAACTGACCTATGTCTTTGTCACTTGGTGGGAGTGGAGGTGATTAGCACCACAAGGGATTTAGCCATAACTCCCACTGAGTCAAATTCTGCTTCTGGATATGTGTATGCGGCTTCCAGTATCTTCAGTGGGAGACTTGTACATATATCCCTTAGCAGAATCTTGGGCATTACTTTTAATAGAAGACATGTGGGTAAATCTCCTTGGTTCGGAGGGAGCAAAGAACAACCATTAACCTGAAGAGTTACACCGTTATGCAGCCATCAACCTCTTGATCAAAAAAGACCCCAATCCTACTCCCATTGAAATCTCTGACAAAACTCTCAAATGACCTCGGGGAATCTAGAATCAGGCCAAGAGTCCTTGAGGAGTGGGCAAGTTCCTTCTAGTATGTGGACAAGATGACCGATTCAGTCATGGCAATGGTGGCCCGTGGCTCATACTCACAGAGGGTGCAACTCAGACGGACTGTAGTTCCCTAGCTAATGTCAATGCACATACACCGCTTCCAGTGGTTTGCTTTGAAGGACACCCTCCCTACCCCAAAACAAAGTGTCTTGCTGCTGGTGATGCAATAGGAAAGTCTCTGGTCTCCCTCACTGTGAACTCCTCATGAGCATCCCACTGCCCCATGATGACGCATAGGCATAGTAAAGGACAAGCTCAAACCAAAAAGAGAACCAAACCATGATAGCAAAAAGGACTTGCTACCAAGTTAATATTCTTGCCTAACTCCATTGAGGTCTCTCTCTCTCTCTCTGTCATTAAAGGTCTGATTCATCTATGAGAACCAAACATATAGCGATATATATATACATTCTTGAATGTCTTAGTCAACATATCACCTCAGCATGCATACAATTTATTTTATTCATTCATTCTGCATGGGGAAAATTATATATTCCTCCATCTCGTTAATTCAATGAAAATTTCTTTATTGTTTCAAGGGGGCAGGGGATTTTGTATATGGCATAACATTTTTTTCCTCTGTGTGTGAAGATTTTCTGTGTTCATCTACTGATTCCACATATGCTATTATTGTAAATATTTAACATTTCTATTTATTATAGTGTCTCCATTTAAAAACCAAACACTGCTGGCTATGGTAATTTAAACGTATGTCATGACCTGTGTTGTATATATTCATGCCACTAGTAGGTTTTTGTTGTTGTTTAAAGCAACGTAAATATAATTTTATACAGTTCCATAATGTTATTGACAGCACAAATCATTTATTTATTGTTAAACCTTCTTTCATGTCTAACAAGTAGGGTATGTTTACCTGAGAGTATGTTATCAAGACATCTACATAGCCTTAATTCTTTGTGAAATCAATTTTAAAAAATCTACTGTCCCCTTAGAGACCCTATGATACGGTGATCAACAATCCTCCCGAACCTGCTGTTTGCGAAGGAGGTTTAATTTCAAAAACAAGGTCTGGATATTTCTCTTAAGCTTTGCATCTGAAAAAAACCCCACCCATAAGAGAAACTGGGAAAAGTAAAATGCTTACTGGAAAATATAGAAATAACCCATCACCCCACAAAAACACTGTCCTATCTTAAAAAATAAAGTTCTGAAACATAATAATTAAAAAACTGTCCTTAAATGCCAGTTCTCTGGGAGAAAAACATACTAGTTCTATCTCATGTAGAATTTACAGCCAAATAAGCTTGTAAACATTGCATATGGATTTAGGCAAAGCTCTGTATCTTTTCACACTGCTATTATTTTTCCTGAAACACTAATAAATGTTTTGAATAAGTCTTGCTGAGATTACTACTTTTATTTTTTAAGTGCAGTTCTAGCTATGTTGGTAAGAAATAAGAAACCACGTTGAAGCTGGGCTTTTAAACAACATAGATACATTCAATGGGCTACACCCTCAGGTATGCCTGAGCTGCACTTGGCTTACCTGAGAAAGGGAGAGGGCAGTGATTTCCTGCTAGTCCTTTCCCCCAAGTCTGAGGGCTAATTTGACCCTGGAGCAAGTTAGAACAGCCTCAGGGATGCTCTAGTTTGCACCAGCTGGAAGGGTGCCCTAGGGCCATTTGCTCCAACCACCTCCATCCTACTCCCTGAACACATCCTTATGTCAGGGGAGCAGGAGCAGGTGAAGTAGACCTGACTGCAACAGCTGTATGCAATCTGGGGATTCCCTATGCAAGCGAGGGACTCTTCAGTGTCCGCTTTACACTGTCAGAGTGGGGCCGCTTTGTTTACTCTTGCAGTAGAGAAAGCCAAACAGCAGATCTTGACTCCATTATTGTATTATTTAAAGGGCCTGATTCTGGAGTCCTTAAACTAAGCTCCCATTGATTTCAGGGGGAGTTTTGCCTAAGTAAGGGTTTCAGGGTTGTGTTATTTAGGTACATGTGATACCACTGTATAGATAAAAGAGTCCTGCTCAGTCTTAGTTCTGTTTTTAAACTGTTCATCTTGAAGTGTGAGAAGCAGATATGGAGATGCATTGGTGCTCACAGATTCACCTTTCACCTCTGGAGGCTTGGGGTCAAATATTAGCTGCAATCAAATGGGCACATGAGGCTTGTTGAGTTTTATCCTAGTCCTCAGTAACTCAGATCACAAAACCATTCCACAATTTGACATCACTGGCACTTTTTGCTCAACAGACTTAACTGATGGATGAAGCTCAATGGACCTGCAGGATGGATGCAGATTAGCATTTAGTTATGTTGCCGGAGTCGTATAGAGGAACCCAAGACGGGTGCTGCAGTCAGGATTGAGGTGCATTGGCAGAGCCGGGTAGCAGGGTGTAGGGAAGCTGCCTGCATTGTGCCCAGTCTTAGTTCTTCATTTTGATGACTGCTAAATTAACCCATGTATCTTAAATATGGGACGCATTGCTTAAAGATGTGACAATTGCTGAGGATTTGTATTCAGATGCAATCCCAACGTGAGTTGCTCTATTACAGTTATTTCAGCAACAGTCTGAATGTGCAGCTGTAAATAAAATCTTAGAAATCTGTTGGTCCCTGAGCAAAGCAGAGCAGGTAAATCCCGGGATTTAAAGCAAGCCCCAGTTTGAGTGGTCTCTATAGTGGAGATGTGGAAAAAGCCAGGCTGGTGACCTGAACTGGAGACCAGGCCTGGAAACTATTTTTTTTTCCTTCTTCAGCTGGGATTATTTATGGGGCAGGGGGTGGGGAAGGGGAAGAATTACAAAAGAGCAAACCCAGGCCCTAAGGCAGGAATTGTTTATGGCTGCTTGCATTAAAAGCACATTTTTAATGCTCCTTCTGCTAGGTTTAAAAATAACTAATCCAATTTAAGCCTTTGGATAAGATGGACTTCATAAGCTTAAATGTGATTTGCAGGAATCCATGACCTGTAATATTTCTTTGTTTAAGGTGCATTGCCACCTAGCAACAGCCTGTGCATAATCCTGCCACCGATTATCTTTAACCACTGTGCAAAGGGAAAGTGCATCTTGCCAGCAGTGCAGTGACAGCGTTTAGCAGGAAATGGCCCTATGCCAAGCTACGGTTTGCACCAGGAGGCTTACAGATAAGATGTAAAACCGAGATTCTGACCACTCATGATCATTAAAGATCTCACCGCATTCATTGCAAGAGTTGGGTCAGAGTCATGGCCAAAATCCAGCTCAGGTAATTACATTCTGCCAACTACCATTCTCCCTAAAATTTCAGCTAGTAAAGTTCTTTTCCATGTCCTGAAGCATAGTGCTGTGGAATCGCATTCCACTCCCGGCATGGCTACATGTCAGTGATGGGTGATGTGATCCTGGCATTTCCTGAAGGGGTCCAGTCTTATAAAACCCAGCAAAGCCTGAGTAACGGGCGATTGTGCTGACATAAAATGTACAGAGGCATAGAGAGAAAGGGATCCAGATCTAAAATGAACTTGAGAGCAACCTCACCATGTAACTGGCCTATGGTCACCTACTACTATGAATGAGGGAGAGGGAGCAGTAGATTTAGCCACCTTCTTGCCTCCTACATTGGTTGTAGCCCTTATAGATTTGCTCTGTATGCACCTCACTAGCTACACCACAACACACCCACTTCCTACTCCCTTGTATTGAAGAGAGTCTGTGATGGCTTGCTGGGAGGTATGGACCATTCCTGTGTGAGCTCCTTGCAGCCTGACTTTCTAATGAGGCAGGATTGCAGCCACTATAGCATCATGTGTGTCAGTCAAAACAAATAATTTATTCCAGGAATTTCATCTTATTTTTCCAGTTAATAAACTGCCTAGGCAGATCATAAACTTCTTGCTTACATATTAATTTGTGAATGTCTTCAGCAAATAGTTCTGCAAGTAACCTGCAGTTTGCAATTGAATATACAACCAGAATGTATGCCACTCTAAATAGACATTACACAAGTCACATGATATTGTTCCTTTTTCCTGATTGGAGGACTTATGTAACCAAACAACACTGTGCAAATGATGAGTTCTATATTTAACTGGCAAATTTTCAACCCACTCTGTGGTGTTCAGCAATATTATAATTTGTACTATTTTTATTTATATTACACTACCACCTAGAGGTCCAAATAAGATCAGTGTCCCATTGTGCTAGGTGCTGTACAAACACATAGCAAGAAACAGACCTTCCCCCAATGAATTTACAGTCTAACTAGACAAGACGGGTAAATAGGAAACTGAGATGAAGTGACTTGTACACGGTGCCACAGCAGATCAGTGGCAGAGCCAGTCATAGAACCCAGCTCTTCTGACTCGTAGCCCAGTACCCTGTCCATTTCCAGGGACCATGCTGCCTAACCAACATTTGCATTGGTGAATATTGGAACTAAAAAAAAGTCATGGTTTGGGAGTTTTCATGCTAGAAAAGCTCGAGTGCTCGAATATTTGCAGAAAGCAAATATAGTTGAACTGAAATTTGTTTTGAGTTCAAACACATAGCCAATTTTCCCAGCAAATTGTTCCGTTGTAGTTTCCATTAGAATCTTCTCATCTTCTGAGGGACTAGACTCAGCTTGTGCCCTCTCTTTTCATACTGCAGCTAGAAGGGAAAAACACATATTGTAGCTTGGGAGCATCCCTTCCAGGAAAAAATGAGAGTCCAGCTGGGTCTATCAAAGTATTTACAACAGGGGTGAGCAAACGTTTTGGCCCAAGGGCCACATCTGGGAATAGAAATTGTATGGTGGGCCATAAATACTCACAAAATTGGAGTTGGGGTGTGGGAAGGGGTGAGGGCTCTGGCTGGGGGTGCAGGATCCGGGGTGGGGCCAGAAATTAGGAGTTCAGGGTGCGGGAGTGGGCTC